AGAACAGTACAAAGACAACTATGCCCTTATAGGGCGGCAAAACATAAAACAGCATATATAACACTCAAAAACATAACAAAATTTGGACTCACATAACTACTGTGGTCCCCACCTCCTATCTAACAACTAACATAAAACATCTACTCAGAAAAACATCATAAAACTAATTAATCTTCAACAATAGTCATAGTAGTATATGCTGGGCTTTTAGTGGGCCAATTGAGACTGGTGACTCTACTGAGGCAGGGGTTTTGGCTGCTCTCATTGCTATCCGTATTGTTAGAGGCTTGGGCATTCAGAACATAACCATTGAAGGTGACTCTGCAAATGCTATAAAATGGTTAGAAGAAAAGGAGGGCGGCCATTGATCAAAAAAAAAAAAAAAGGAGGGCGGCCCTTGGAGACTGTCACTATTTGGCTGAGGCTAGAGATATTCTGGGGGCCATGACTGTAAACTTGCATTGGATTCCAAGGAAATTAAACTCAATAGCAGATGGCCTAGCATAGTCTGGTGCTCATTTGGATGCTTTGTACAGTGACAGGTCTCTACCTGTGTAGCTCTTGTGGGGCTCCCTCTAGTTTTTTTGATTGTACATCATCCTATGTACCTTATTTCTTTCAGTTACTTTTTCTCAAAAAAAAAAAAGAGAGGAGAATTATTGGCACTTCTGCAAGGTATTCGTTTAGCAAAGCAACTGGTTTATAGACAGGTGGAGATAGAAGGGGATTCAAAAGTAGTTATTTCATGGGAAAACTGCAATAGGCATATCCCATGGACTCTCAAACACATTTTAAGGGAAGTAGAAAGAATTGTGAAGGACATAAATGGTGAATTCAAGTGGGTAAGAAGAAGTGCAAATGAATTAGCTTGACTCCCTTGCCATACAAGGGGTATTGAAGCTAACAACTGTTTTGGGTTTCCATGTAACCTTGATTATGATTGTTGGGGGATAACTTTCTTGTCATTAAGTTGTACTAATCTCATTTATAATTAAATAATTTTCTGCTGATCAGAAAAAAGAGAGAATGAATATGATATATCTGCATTTAGTTATGTTTATAAATGAGGCCATTTGGCATCATGTGGTGGGTGCAATATTTTTCTATGAGCAAAAGAAAATCATAATCATCAGGTAGCAAAGTGAATCTTTTCCGTTTTTTTTTTGGGGGGGGGAGGGGGGATTTAGAAGGGGAAATTCAAAAACATATATCTGAGTCAACCCAAATATTTTTATTTTAATCTATAGAAAACTCTAATTGGGTCATATGTTGTCTGAAAGACGGTTCGTTGCTTTCTTATACTAGAGAAGAGACTAGATTAACCAATTCAGACATTGAGACAGTTTTATTTCTGGTCTTGTCTTGTTGCTATTTTGAGATCTTGGGAAATGAAAGTTTACGAATATTCTAGAGGTTCTCAAAAGAGAGGATTTGAAGATTTTTTTGAGGGGAAGGAATGCCTAATCAAAGTCTCTGAAGTAGGTAATGGGGGAAGAAAGATCTCTGCTTCAATTTTCTGCTGATTCTCTCTTCTTCTGTGGTGACAAACAAGAACAAATGCAGCATCTTAGATTCCCCCTTCATTGGTTTGAAGTTGTGTCTGGGCTGAAAGTCAATCTAGCTAAAAGTGAGCTGCTTCCGATTGGAAATGTTGCTAACTTAGATAGTTTGGTGGAGGAGCTGGGCTGTGACATTAGTTGTCTTCAGCTCAAGTATTTGGGGCTACCATTAGGAGCCGAATGCAACTCCAGAAGCATTTGGGACTCTGTGATCAAGAGAATGGAAAGGACTTCAATCCACATAAAATGATATAATTGTAAACTTGACTATCAAGTTTAACCTACACATGATGGAAAACAAGAATCTTTTGAAAAAAAGTTAAAAGAAACAATGAATTGACAAAATAAGAATGAAGTTTTAATTGAACTGATTCAAATTGCATGAATTGTAAGATTCATGAATTGAATCATAGGATTCAAACAATAATCATAAGACTTTGCAGAAAAGGATCCAAACATAAGATCCATATCAAAACCCTTGATATTCATGGATCAAATTGTGAATCAGATTGTCACTCATAAGAGTTTGAAAACTATGCTTGGAACAGTCCAAACCCAAGAAAAAGGGCTGCTATACAGCATACCTGCAAGACAGTGCCAAGAGAAAATTAGATCTTCATGAGTACCATTAGCATGAGTGGTTCAATCTGGTTGTTTGAGACCACAGTTTACTGAATTGATGACCGAGTCTCCAAAGGCCCCTAGACCAATCTCCTGACTCACCTATCCTGGTTTTAGAATTGCCCTCAATGATAAGCCTCTCTAACTCAAACCCCAAAGGAACAAAATATATGAGATTAGGTACACCATTTACTATAATTAGAATATCACTAATGTCTCCAGGTTTCATAATGTACAACAATCAAAATTTAATTTTATACTATTTGCAGCCACAGGAATTCACATTTGGTCGATCTTCACCTTATTTGTTTATTTATATATGTTTTTTGGAGAGGGGAACCAGAACAGTGGTGAATCTTGGGGCAGGAGACATAGTAATGCTTCTCCATTCAATAAGAGCAACTTGTCTTCAGTCTCTTTTCTTGTGGACTTTCTTGTGAGCTTTGATCAAATGATTGTATTCCTTGTTCTCAAGGTGATATAGAACTTTATCATCATATCATGTATTAGATGCTTGATGCTTCCCTTTGTTGACATTTTTTTTTTTGTGTTTTTTCCTTTTTTCTATAGCCACAATTTGGTTTTCTCTTCATTTATGGGTTTCATTTAAAAATATACACTGTTTTGGAACAGTCTTCCCAGGTTTCTGCTGATCCAAATGTCAAAGCTTCCAGTAATAAGCTTGATGATAAAGCTGGTGACACAAAGTACTCAACTCATTCTCTTGATGAGGTTGCTGGAATGATATGCAGTACCATATCTGCATATGAATTTAAGGTAAGCATGCCTTTACTTTTCTGAGATAACCATAAATGGTGGCTGCATCTTCTACCAGTATATCACTACAAACCTTGTAGAATATGTTACCATTTATGTTGGATTTCTGAGTAACTATTGGCTTTGTAATGGAAACTTGGAAAGCTATTAATTCTTGTTCAAGGGATTAAACATTTCTGATATTTGCTTAGAATTTTTTATGGCTTCTATATAGAACTTGTAGTGATTGTATCTGTGATAAACTTAATTCCATTTTTGTCGATATTTATAGAATTGGAGGAATTGAAGATATTATAAGTTACGAGGATAGACAACTTGACAAGAACATCCATATTTTTCTTATAAGCATAAGTGTAATTTCTGTATTAATGAGAGGGGGGAACCCTTGAAATAAACATGAACAATGAGTTATCTATACATGATGAACATGATTGTACAAGATGTCCCTTTACTCAACTTACAAAACTATCATGGAGTGCTAATGTAATGGCACATGCAAAATGAGTTATCTATACACGAAAGACATTGTTTTCTTTCCTTGTTGCACAAGGCTCTGGCTTCCCCTTTCTATTGCTGATGCCATGGAGTGTCATGTATTGTTAAAGTGCTGGCATTTCTCAAATTTTCATGTCTTCTGGTGTCTTAGTAACTTTGGACAAAACAGCCATAGTATCTTTAAACAAAAGAAATGGCTTTTTGCATATAATATAATACAAATCATACTTATATAGAAATTCATCAAAAAAAAAATCATACTAATATAGAAAATTAGCCTTTTAATTTATCCGAACTCTTCCCATTGAGACCTTTATCTCATCAGTCTCAAACCTGATCAATCCATATCATTTTCAATCTGGAATATATTTTTCCTTCTCATCCTTCACCCTTTAATCTGCTAAAGAAGCTTTGGAGTTCTATCTGCTTGGTATTTTTGTACCCTAATGTGTTATTGTTTTCTGTCTGATTGCATCTCTTCTTGTTCCATATATGCTCTGCTTAGAGAATTAGTTTGGGCTAATGAAATTGATTCAAGTATAACTTACTCTGCATAGGTTCATAACACATTCCATGACCTTGAAGAATCAAATATTCTATGCCCATACATGAGTAATGCTGTAAAGGAAATATCTAAAGCATGCCAAGCTTTTGATGGGAAAGAGTCAGCTCCTCCTAGTACTGGTACTTGTTCGTTCCGTAATTCATTTTCCTCTTGAATTGTTTATCTTGTACTTTGTTGTCTTCTCGGATTGACTCATTTCTTATTCTTGGTTGTATTATTGTTTGAGTGTGGCAGTTACATCTCTGTGTGCACTCCAATTAGAAATCACGAAAATCTACATATTGAGGCTTTGCTCGTGGATGCGAACAACAACAGAAGAGATACTGAAAGATGAATCATGGGTTCCAGTATCAATCCTTGAAAGGAATAAATCTCCATACACCATATCTTTTTCACCTTTAGCATTTCGTACAATGATATCCTCAGCAATGGATCAGATAAATTCGTAAGTTTTTAAGATAACTTTCTTATAAATTTCCATACACCACAACATGCATAATTTCTGTATATTCATTCTGTATCATATTTCAGTTTTGGAGATGTGAATCTTCGTGTTCAGATGATTATGGCCTTCCCTAATTATTTGGTGCTGGCAATTTGGATGTCCACGTATGGCCTTTCATAGTGTGGAATGGGGAAACAAGGTCTGTGTTGCAAATTCCATATGGTTAGAAGCCAAGACCCATGTTTACCCAATGAGACTTGGCAGCTCCAGGTCCAGGCCCATTTACACTCTCTCATATTCAAGAGATGAATCTCATTAAAGAGCATCCAGAAAGGGGTTCAAATACCCTAAGCTAGTGGGGTTTTATTTAGGTTTGAGTATCAAATAATGTTTGTGGGAGAACATTGAAGGGCATAGCTCTCTTTTTCTGTATTTTTCAGGGAAGGCATGTCCTTAGGTTGTGCTTGTGGAGTTTTCTTCATTTTTTTTTTCATTAATAAAGTTCTTGATAAGTTACCATAAAAAAAGAACCTTATTGAACTGAAAGAGTGAAGGCTTTCACAAAACCATCCACCCCTACCCTACTGGACCTTGGTAATGAATCACTCAGAAGTTCGGAGGTTGCCAGCGGGACAGTTGCCATATCAGTTTGATAATATTCTTCCCATGGTCGAGTTTCAGTCAGGGAGCCATCAAGCTAGGAAGTAAGAACCTATATATACGAAACCAGCCTTTAATGTTGTCACATGTGATAACCTCCAAAGATGTTCAAAGTCATTATCCAGTGAGTGCGTTGACCATAATCAAGTGACTAATGCCAGGAACAAATCAACTCTGACTTTGGAGAAAATATGGAATTAATGTTGTACCCCACACTTCAAACTATTGTGAATAATAATGGAACTAATTGATGGATATCCTTTTTGACTTGTCTTAAGCAAGTTGTTCTTATTTGGTAAACATAGGGATGTCAATGGGTAGGGATGCAAACAGATTGAATTGAATTTGGATAGGGGTATATTTGAATCCGATCTGATAAATCCTATATCTGATCCGATGATCTTACACACACACACACACACACACACTAGCGGGGACCTGTGTGATGCATAGGATTTATCAAGGGAATGCGAAATAACCAAAATTTATAACTAAGGATGGAATGCAATGTTGTTTAAAATAATTAAATCTTAATTTTAATAATTTGTTACAAAAATGATTTACTAATTTAGTAATTTGGATTAATTGTATTAATATTTTTAACAAAAATAATAAATTATTGCTAATTACTTAATAAAATAATTAATTTTTCTATATTATCTATAAGTGTTATATTTTATTTATTTTACTTTATTAATGATTAAATGTTACAATTTTTTTGTAAATATCACTTAAATATTTAAAATACTTAAATATTAGTAAATATATAAAGTTAGGCTATAGTCATAATTACGTTAATCTATAGTTAAATTAATCTAAGCTCGAACTCAAGGTTTAAGACTTTGGATTAGGCTTGGATTGATCCTCATCTAGACCCAACCCACCCAAGTTGCATGCACTGTGACATTCGTAATTGGATTGAACCAAACCGAGTGCAACCTATGCATACATTATTTTTGGGTTTTAACTATTTTTAGATAATATTGAAGCTGAAGGAGATATGAGGGATGAGCTACCTCCATTGTGTAGCCCAATGAACAAAAAAAAAAAATAAATAAATAAAACATACGGGCCAAATTTTGATAGTGTATTAACAATTTTTAAGGTTGCTTGGCCTAGCTTGGCCCACATCTCAAGTGTAATAATATTTGTCTGGGCCTAGGACATGGACATGCTTGCCTGTGTATTTAAATTTCTTATTTTTATTAGTGTTTATTAAGTTTGATTTTTAAGTTGAATTGAAATGTTATATTAAAACTATCAATTAATTGTTTTGTTAATAGTTATTATTTTAAGTGGAAGTTTAGTGGATTTTTAAATTGATAATTTTAAAATAATATTTTTATTTTGTTGTTTTATGTTTGATTGTTTAACATCAATCTATTTAGATTATTTGATTTATTAATATTTTACTTTGTTATGTCATATTATTATTCCCACTCTCTCTCTATAATCATGTACAACTTTATTGGTCCAATCAAGGCAATGCTTACTTTTTTAGTTTTTTTATATTTTTAAAATAAAAAAAAATAAGAAAAATTGCTGGACTGGGAGCAGGTTATTAAGATACTCCCAGATACAACTTAAAAAAATAATAATAAAGAAGAAAAAGGGCTTTTTTATAAGCCTAGTCAGTCCTATTGGTGGGCTGAAACATTTTAGTAAAGAAAGGGGCCTACAGTCTAGTTTAGTGAACAACAAGCCCCAAGTTAATTGGGCTTGTTTGTAATGCAATAAGCATTTAATGGGCTTGCAGTAGAGCTGATTTAATGGAACAACAAGCCCTAAAAGAATAAATCTATATTAATTAATTTTGTGTTAGGTGTCCCACTTATTTATAAAGGAATGCCACTTGTCCTATTCTAACAAGAGAACTATTTTCCCTCCTTTAACCACTTGAAGTGGGGGGGGGGGACACATGTCACCCTAGGGGAGAGAGTTATTTCCCTCTTCTAACCACTTTAAGTGGGGGGGGGGGACACATGCCGCCCTAGGAAGAAGCATTTATTTTCCCTCCTTTAACCACTTGAAGTGGGGCGGGGGGACGCATCCTAGGGGAGAGAGTTATTTTCCCTCCTCTAACCACTTGAAGTGGGGGGACACATGTCATCCTGGGGGAGAGTTTTCTTCTCCCTCCTTAACCCACTTTAAGTGGGGGGACACTTGTCACCTTAGGAAGGAAGAGTTTTCTTTTCCCTCAATCCATTTTAAGTGGGGTGACACTTGGCACTCTAAGAAGAGAGGAATGGGGAGTTACTTAACCACCTCCCTCCTCTATATAAACCCCTCTCCTACAAGGAGAAGGGGCTAATGCCATTTTATTGGCTAATTCTATTCAGTTGATAGAATTTACATCAACAAGAGACAAACCAAAGGAGAAAGAAGAGAAGGTTGTGGTGTGGAAGAAAAGGGAGAAGAGGAGAAAGAAGAAGGTAGGGATTGCAGTATTCCTCCTCCACCTCTTCATTATGATTCTCCTACAACTTCCTCTATTAGACTTATGTCTTTCCTTATACTCCTTTCACACTTTCTTTCTTTGTTATTATTTTCCTTTTTTTTTTCTTCTCCTTGTCTCATTTTAATCATATGTGAGGGAGACAACCATCTATAGCCTTGTTCATGAAACTTGGCTGATTATGGTTTCTCACAACCTATTAACCTATGTGTGAGGGGGAAAACCATCTACAACCTTGTTCATGAAACTTGGTTGATTATGGTTCCTCACACCATGATAATGCACATAACCACAATTTAAAGGCCATTTGTAGCCTTATTGATGAAATATGACTATTTGTGATACCTATTTACTTGTTATGTATAAAAAGTTTGTTTATTATTTGCTTGTGTTTCTCTCAACAAAGAGGGAATATATACCGGAATTTTCAAAAGGAAAATTCTGTAGAAAAATGTTGCTTAGTTTAGTCTATTCATTTGTACTTCTGAATCAGAATAAAAGGGTTTTCTCTGCCCCTAGCAGAGATGTAATTAAGGGAACATCTACGTGATTTCCTGAATGGGGCTTACCCAAATAACAAAAAAACCCAGTTATTAGTCTAATTGGGTGAATTATGTTATGTGAGACCCGATCCGATTAGAAAATCCGACAATAGGATTCGGATTCGAATCGGATCATGATATGGTCCATTTGCACCCTATCAATGGGTTCTGCACTGACCCGACCCTATTGGGTTAAGTTTGGATCAGACTTTATCGAGTTTTGGGTTATGTTTGGGTTGAGGTCGACACATGCTAATCTCAAGCCATTGACATTGCAACATTGAACTATTTATATATATATATAGGCTTGATTGAATGCAGATGCACTATATATGGGACAGGTTCAAGGTTTAAAGTGTTGGTGTTGGTTGTTCAAACATAGGAAACATGTTAGAAATATCATACAGATATATTGTAAAATTATAGACATGCTGGAAACATTGTAAAATATGCAAAAATATAGAATGATATTTTATGAAATGATAAAAGAAGCATAGGCACGCCTTTTTAAATTATTATTTTGTTCCAAATCATTAAATAAAGCTAAGAAACTAAGGTTATTGAAAAAATAATATGCTGTGAAGTTGCCTTGTAAACCTTAAGATCCAAAACTACATGATAGAATGCATTCAAGCAAAATTTAAACTCATGGAACATTCAAATGATTCTAGTATATCAACCAAATAATCTATTACATAAACAAAAACTAATATTTAACTTTATGTTTTAATACTATCTCTTGCACTTCAGATTGCTACTTCACATTTCTATAATATTTTCACCAAATATTTTATAATACTATCTCTTGCACTCCACATAGTGTTGGTTGTGTTCACTCGTGAGTGTGTTGACTCCAGTCAAATTTCATGTAGCTACCCATGGAAATGGAAACATGTTGTGAAATATTAGGAAATTTATGGACATTTTACATCGTGGACAGGTTGGGTCGAGTTCCTTCTTTGAGGAGCATGGTGTTAACTTTTTCTTTTTTTCGATAAAAGCAGTGTTTAAACTTTACAACATGCAGACCATATATTTTTCTTTATTCAGAACAATGTCCAGTCCTTCAAAGTGGAGTCTTCTTCCCAGATTCAATAATCTTGTTCTTTATCTATTCAAGGATGATAATGAGCCTGAGGAGTGAAGCCACAAAATCAGAGAACATATTTCTGCATCTTCAAGAAATCCAAGAATCTGTTAGACTTGCACTTCTAAACTGTTTCATTGATTTTGCAGGTATAGTTGTTCAATTACCATCACTATTTTTATTGAACCTGCAATTTTTTCTCTTCTAGTGCTAAGATTGTTTATCTTGTGATGTACATAATAATCAGGTCAGTTAGAGCAGATTGGAGGTGAACTTACACAGAGTAGATCAAGCCAAGAAACTTCACACCTACAAAATGGATATTTACATGAACCTGAAGGGAAAGATCAGGGTCTTCCACCTAGCAATATTGCTGGTGATCCACATCAGAAGTTGTTGATAATCTTGAGCAATATTGGATATTGCAAAGATGAACTTTCTTATGAGTTGTACAACAAGTACAAACATATTTGGTTGCAGTCTAGGTGTGTTCTCTTCCCCTTTTTACCTGGTATATGGATGAATGTTTTAGGCCTTACATCTGTTTTAACTATTTCTTATCTGATCATATTTTGCATCTGAAAGGGTGATTGTTCTGCCAACTTTCTGGCATAAATATTTATTTTTTCCTTATTTTGTGAGTTCGGCTTTGGTCAGTGCAATGACTGTTTGAACAGCCTTTACAGCCTTGCATTGGGAATATCTTCGTACTTATGTGCTTTATTCATGGGGAGATATTCCCAATGCAAGGTTGCAAGAGGCTGTTTGAACGGTGTGAGCATGGACTTGCACTGACTGAAGCCGGTCTCTTATTTTGTTATTTTACTGTATCTACTAATTTGAACACCAAGAAATATTCTTCTCCAGCAAGAACTATTAAAATGTTATTGGCCAACTTGAAAACTGAAGTTGATTGGCTAGACAAATCTTATCTCAGTTCACATCCATGAATGTTTTCTTCTTCAACCCACATCCTTTCTGGCATTTCTTGGATTGTCTTTGTATTCAATGGGTAGTGGTGCTAACTGTCATTATCGTTGGTCTGCATGCTGAAAACTGTTCAACTGGTTAAATATTAAATAAATTAACAAATAAAATTGTATGTCTCCTCATCTTTTATTAGGGGTTTTGTATCTCAATATGCTTAAATGGCTAGACATTGTCAGTTAGAGTTGCTTTACACTATAGGAATCATCTTACTCTCTGATAGAGTTCATCAAGCTGTGAAATTCATTCTAAAATTCAATTACCTTTAGCTGCTTACCTGCTGGAAGGGTGTTGTTGCAGGGAGAAGGATGAAGAAGAAGACAGTGATATACAAGATCTAATAATGTCTTTCACTGCACTTGAAGAGAAGGTCCTGGCACAGTACACTTTTGCAAAGGTATGTATTTCAATTGATTGAAGAAATGGTTGTTGGAATTCTTGTTTTGTTTCATTTTATTTATTGTTTTGATAGTAGAATCATTTGGTTATAATATTTTGTTTCGTTTTATTTATTGTTCTGTACAATATCTTGAGATGCCTTTTAGTTTAATGCACCTATTCAGGATATGAAATTTCAGCCATTGCAACAAAATTTTCTATTCGTGGATTTGATTGTGCTGGTATGAACCATTGTGCGACTCTTGTAAACTTAAATATCAATTATGCAGGGACAAGAGTGGTTATTACTGATTTGCATTAGGTTTGTTCACATTATAAGCCAAGTTGGGAATGATAATAGGCTTGTCATGCGAAGTTAAAAAGGTTATGGGAGAAAATACTATACAATCTGAAACTGCATAGGCTGGGAGCAGTTGCCTTTGTTCTTCTTGCTGAACTTCACCTTGCATTGAGCTGAACTGGATCATGAACTTCTCTGTAGCTAGTAGTATGTAATACCATGAAAAGCAGTTCCAGAAGTTGCAAATTTTCCATTCAATTTGAATTCTCTAAAAATCAGAAAATGTGTCAAACATTACCTGGCTGAAACCAGTTTCATTCTTAGAATTTCTCACAGACTGCTTCATGCTGTGTTGTAAAAGTTTTTGAATGCAACACCATTACAAACTTGGTTTGGAATATGGATTTTGGCAAGATCATTGTTTTACACATTTTGTTGCACTAATATCTAGCTATCTTGGAACTAGGCTTAATGGGGCACATTATCTTTGGAACTCAAAACTTATCTCCGCTGTATATGAATCCCCTTGGCAAGATATATGCTGCATCCTCTACCTTTTTATAATCATGTATTGATAATCTTCTCTCCTTTCTTCACTTTTGTGGGGCAGGATGTTTGGGTGGTCATGGACATGATGCATATGTGGAAAAAGAGAATTTGAAGAAAGTTTATTTCTTCTTCCATGGTTTCTTTCCCTTTTTCCATGTCTGCATCAGGTGGTTGTGATGGGATCAAACTAACAGTCATACGGTGGTACATTAACCTGACAAAATTTTGCTATAGGATGCTACTCTTGTATCTTTTTGACTGAGAAGAAGTACATTTCAAAATTTTACTTTGACATGAAGTACTAAACAAACAATCAGAACTCCAAATGAACTTTATTTTAGATATGCAGTTATGCTGTGGACCATCCAAATAGTGAGAAATCTGAAGATACTATTTCCACTTTGTTATAGTAAATGTTGGTTAAATAATCTTATTGAAGTCTTTATTCTGCTCTCCTCATGCTTTTCATCAGGCAAATATTATCAGGATTGCTGCTGTAAACTATCTACTGAAAGCTGGAGTTCAATGGGGAGGAGCACCTCCTGTCAAAGTATAGAATTAATAGAAACCTTAGTACTTGGCTCTTTTGATCTCTTTCTTCATCTAGAAAATCCTCTCTATAGCACTTCATTCATGAGTCTCATTGAAAGTATCTTGCAGGGTGTGCGAGATGCGGCCATTGAGTTACTGCATACTTTCGTTGCAGTGCATGCAGAGGTATCCACCACATGCTCTTGTTCTCAAACAGCAACTTAATTGGCTTCCTTCATATGTATGCATGCTATGCACTTCAATGTTTGTGGATTTTCAGTGAAGCTGTTACCATGATGTCTGAAAGCTGCTAGTTAATGGATTTTCATTTTAGTGCCTATGCAATAGCAAATATTTATTCTTGTCTAAGAGATGGTTCAAGACTGCTTTTTGGAATCATAAAATTGGTCATTTTATTGATTATATTACAAGCTGTAAAACCATATTCATAAAATTTCCATGTATGGTATGGAAGCTTAGTCAGATCTTGCCCAAATTCTGGGTTAGACTGGTTATAACTATTATTGTCAAAAATGCATTCCAAGCATTCTGGGCAAGTATTGCCCAGATATTCTGAATAATGGTGCTCACATTTGGTTTTTAGGTGGTATTTTTAGGCTCTTAGGCACAAGTCTTCTGAATGACTGCAATATGATGTTTGAATATATATATATATATATATATATATATATATATANTATATATATATATATATATATATATATATATATATATATATATATATATATATGTGCATCCTATACCACATTGTTATTGATTCGATCTGCACTGGTTTCAGTCTTAGAATGAGAAAGAAAAAGAATAGGAGCAAGAGAAGGAAAGAAGAGTTAAGAGAGAAAACCCTTGGTTTGATCTAGAGAGGATTCAAAACTACTCTCTCTAATCGGCCAGGTTATATTTATATGTTTCTAATGTAAGTTACAATGACAGTTATGCTCCTAATTAAGGATGGGACAGAACACTTAAAGTGAAGCATAAAAGACATAACACTACTCAATTAAAGTGAGACAAAATGACCAAACTACCCTTTGACAGCTGACTCTAATACACATCATTTCTAGGCTTAAAAAACACTTCATTTTTTGCAAAAGCAAATGAGCCTATAATGCTTAGTGCGTATTGTGCAAAATCATATCATTCACATATTCAGTACAAATGTTGTTCATAACTTGTAGCTTTGTGAAACTGAATTTTGATGAGAGCAGTCATGGTAATCCAGGCCCCTCAGGTATAGGAGGGGTATTGAGAGATTCAGAAGGTAAACTTGTAGCTTTATTCTCTGGCCCTGTGGGTTTGGGTAATTTTCTCAAAGCAGAGTTGCTCGCAGCAATACAAGGGGTGCAGATTGCCAATGAATTACATTTAGCAAATGTGGTGATAGAAGGGTGATTCAAAAGTGGTGGTGAGGTGGCTAAAGGACCCGGGCTCTATAATCTGGTGCTACAACAATGAAACAGAGAAGTTTAAGTGGCTTACTAGGAACATGAATCTCAGAATACAATGGGTAAGGAGATCTGAAAATGGGATGGCAGATGTTGGCTAAGCAAGGGGTGAATAGGGATTTGTTGTTTTGGGCTCCTTTCTAACTTTTTTTTTTCTGTTTATAGAGAGGTATCATCCCGTGCCTCTCTAAGGGATGCTTGTAAAATTTTATCTTAAAGTTTAATAAATTATCATCTTATTCATAAAAAAAAATGTTCATAACTTGATAAATTTGGAGAGATATTCTAAGAATTCTCAATATGAAGGTAGCAAAGATCTTTTTTTTGGGGTTGTTCATGATAATTATTTCTTATATTTACTGAATAAGTCTAAATGTGTTTTGTAGTTTGAAAGTCGTAATTTTTTGTGGGTAATTAATAATTCTTGCTTTGTATTTGCTCTGGACTATATTTAATTCAGGTTCATCAGCTAGCTAACAAATATATTATGCATTACTTGGAATTTGAAGAGGTTAAACAATTATTTGGTGGGTTTTATCCGGGACACTTCTTTGGCATGGCTGGATCAGTAAGACCGTGCCATGACCGGTAGGATGCAACTATAGTTATGCCTGGTACTGAGCCAGGGCTGATCCATTTATACGAGATATGACCGAATATAGAGGTAGACCTAGTGGTGGTAAAAGCAACGGTCATGCACAACACCCAGTAAACAAGTACACATTATACGGATAACATACTCAGCCAGGTTCATACACATGATAAGATACTGTTGAAGGATAAGTTTTTCTTTATGTGCAGTATTTTGAGTAGTAGTAATGGTTAATTAGAGGTTGATATTATAAATGTTATAGAGGCACACACTTCATGCTTTTTTAATAGATAACAGAACCATTTTATTAAAATGAAGAAAGATATGTACAACAGATGAGTAGCCCACTACCAGCAGTATCTCCTTATTTATGCCCTGTCTGGCTAGGGAAACAGCTTGCCCATTTGCTGATCTCTGAATCCAGGTGAATCTTGTTTTCAAATCTCTTTGAAAGCTGCCTGAGTTCCCTCACCACTTGTCTGAAACACCATGAACTGAGCCTGTTAGATTGTAACCATCTTATGACAGTCCTTGAATCACCTTTAATGTGGAGTTTTGTAATGTTGAGGGACCTGCTGCCATACATTAAAGTCTTCAGTTCTATAATGTTCAAATCTCTTGATGCATATACTCCATACTTTTTTGGTCCTCTTACAAATGTTCCTTTCTTATTGTTTTTTGGGCACATTTCTTAAACTACCCCTACTGTTTAGCTAATTGACTAACTGTACCCTTACTGTTTAATTATTGTCTTGCAGCACCCCTACTGTTTATGACAATTGACTAGCTCTATCCTGCCGTTAGCATCCATTAATGTTCCGTCAAAATCCGTACACACATGACGTATAAATTTTTTAAAATCCAATGTTACCCTTCATCCCTCTCCCTCTCTATTCTTCTTCAGTCCCTCTCCCGGCGGCAGCTGCAGCGAACCACTCCCCAATGGAAGTCGGCAGCACAACCATTCCACTCCTCGTCTTTCACTGTGCGCAGTTGAGCCGAAGAACTGTTGCAATGTTCCTCTTCCAATTTTGTCAAGAAAACACCTGGAATCTGAAGAAAACCTCTTCAGACATGAAAGACGAGGAGCTCGAGGACATGATGACCAGTCTCTCACAGATCTTCTGGTGGGACCTCGTCGGTGAGAGATATAGTATCAAGGTTGCCATCCGGGTTGTTGTCTTTCTCTTTCTGCAAGAAAACCCAACTTCCCCAAAACTTACCTTGTAACCCAATCTCTGATCTTCTGGTTCACAAAACCATTAATCAGTATCAATGGCGCAACTCCTACTCAATTCCCAATATCCAGTTAAGACCATCAAGGGCCTTCTCCTGATAGAAGATCCTCAAACTCCCAAGTCCTAGCCATGGCCACACTATTACCCATTGGTGGTTTCCTACTCACCCCTGCAGGACTAACCCTAACCGGCACGATCATTGGTCTTGTGGTGGTGACACCACTCTTCGTAATTTTCAGCCTGGTGTTGGTCCCTGCAACTATCACCATCGGTTTAGCAGTGATGTGGTTCCTCGCGGCGGGTGCCTTGAGGCTGGCAGCGTTATTGTCTATGTCTTGGTTGCTGAATTACTTGTATGGGACGGGAGGGACAATGACTGAGAATTTGGATTATGTGAAGAAGCGCATGCAGGATGCAGCAGGATACATGGGTCAGAAGACATGGTAGAGGACAACCGGAATACTGTCACTTGCATCATTACCGGCTGACTCACGGGATTCTTTTCCGTTATGATTTAGCAACAATAGCAATTGTCAGAAACAATAGGGGTAGTTTAAGACAATAGTTAAGCAGTAAGGCTATGTTTGGTTTGAAGGAAAACGTAGGGAAAGGTAGGGAAAGCCATACAAGGTTTGTAAAGGTTTTTCTACCTTTCCTTTCCTTTCCCTACTTTTTCCTTCAAATCAAACACAGTGTAAGGGTAGAGTTAGTAAATTTGCTAAACAGTAGGGGTAGTTTAAGAAACTTGCCCTTGTTTTTTTCTTCTATTCTCATTTTCTGCACTTTCTCAGTAATAATTCTACACATAAGTGATTAGAAATTAAACAGGTATTAGCATCAAGGTCCTGGCGATGTTCAACTAGTGAAACTCATGCATACTTAGGATCAGCAAGCTACATGGCATTTTGAAGAAACTGATAACTTATACTTGAATTGTCTTTAAGGATTTTGGGAAATCTAATTTAAGGTTAGGTTTTCAAGAGTTCTTGATTCTAAAAATCAAGAAAACCATTGATGACTTCTTCCTGTACTTCTGTATTGGTTCTCAGGCATTCCTAGGAGTATTTTGGCACTACGTATCTGTGTGTGTGTTGGGGGGGGGGGTTCAGTTTGGAGAAGATTTGGGGCTTCTGGAAAAAGTGCCCACTTTCCACCAGTTTCTCTTATCCCTGCTATGGTAAATCTGCCTACCAATATCATCTTGACTTTTTTATTTTTTTGAGAAAATTTAACCAGGATTCATTAAAGGAAGAAGAGGCACATGAGAAGATGTACAGAGCAGGGGAAGAACCCCTACAAATTACAAAGGAGGAAGCTTGTTGTTATACAAATGCTTCAAATGCACACCACATTTGGCTAAGCCATCTGCTGTATGATTGTGTTCCCTAGGAATCCAAACTATTTTTACATTTAAACAGTCCAAAGAGTCCCTAGCCTCTGCCAAATAGTGACTCAATCTCCAAGGTCCCCCCTCTTTGTCTCTTAACCATTTTATAGTATTTTCCGAATCACCTGCAGTGATTAAATTCTGGATTCCCAAATTTTTTATTATTCTGATTCCTGTGAGAGCAGCCATCACTTCAGCCTTTGTGGAATCAGCCAAATCAATTGGACCGCTGAAGCTCCAACAAATGTTGCCCCTTTCATCCCTTACTATGCCTCCAATACCAGCTAAGCCAGGGTTACCTAAGGCATTTCCATTGAAGTTTAGGGTCATCACTCCTTCACTGATGGGGTTGGGATGTCTCAAGGATGTTTGATGGAGGTGAGGGAGAAACAGAAAGGGGTAAGCATCTCTATTGAGATCATTGACTGGGAGTCCTTTGAACAGATCTGAGTTCATCATCCAGAGGTAAAGGTAAGTAATGTCTGAAATCAACTCCTCCAGGGGCCTGAATTTGTTGTCAAAGAGACGTTTGTTTCTTTCATCCCAAACTCCCCAATAGTTCTTTACTATGTCTTGTTGCCTATAGTATTCTATTGTCCTCACTTTCTGTTCTTGGGTAGATCGGAAAAAGACCCAACCTATGGCATTTTCTCGAACAAAGTTGCCTCTCTCAGAATCAAATGTCCATTCTCATGCTTCTCATCTCAAGATTTTAGCATTGCACTAAGTCATGGCCCCTATTTCCTTTAGGTGAAACAATTTTCTGGTCTCTTATGTTTCAAAATATCTAGTCTTCATGCTTCTAATTATCATATTTGTTGTTGATATCTTTAATGTCTGGATAATGCAAGAATCTAGGGACTCGGACAAGGATAGTAAATCAGTTTGCCAATGTTGCCTTGAAAATTGCAGTTATGGCATAAAATTATTACATGCTGCAGGTTTTTGCTGGTGCTAAGCCCTTGCTGGACAAGACACTAGGCATTCTTATAGAAGGTCTGGTAGATACTTTTCTCAACCTTTTCCATGAGAATGATACGAAAGATCTGAAGTTATTGGATGCAAATGGTTTCTGTCAGCTTATGCTTGAGGTGAGCAGTCCTAAGAATTGAATTGTTCATTTTCCTGGGAAAACACTTTAGTGGAACTGCTGAATGCTCTAAAACTTAACATGCAACATTGTTCACGTGCACCCTGTTCTTCCCCACCCCTAATTCCTCTGTGACAAAAAAAATGCAACATTTTTTGGAGTCACAAAAGTAACAGTCTCCAATGTCTGGCATTTATACATTTGGTTATCTAAAAGCGTGCAACATTATTTGGAATCACAAAAGTAACAAATGATCTCTTTCTCTTACTCTCACAACCAGCAAAGAAATATTTTTTAATTATTTGAAACATCATGACATTGACAAGATTTTGATATTACACTTTTGACAAAAGACAAAAAAAAAGCAAACAATCATATGATCCATCAGAATTTTCCTTTTAGTTTGAATTTTTTGGAAATAATTGAGGTTGTAGATTGAAGGTGGGCCTTGGCGCAATGGTTGGGTTGCTCCATTGTGACCTGGGCAACCAAGGTTCAAATCTTGGAAACAGCCTCTCAGTATGTGCAGGCATAAGGCTGTGTACATCTGTCCAATAGATTATGACTATTTGTTAGGCCTGTCTATTTGCCTTGACACTTAATTATGCACGTACATATGTTCTGCAGCTTGAGTATTTCGAGACCATATTGAATCCATATTTCACAGCCGATGCACGTGAATCTCTGAAATCTTTACAAGGGGTGTTACTGGAGAAGGCCTCTGAAAGTGGGACCGAATCAACTGAGGTTCCAGGACATCACCGTCGGCCAACTCGTGGGAGTGAGGAAGCACTTGTAGATGATCGACAGCAAGGAATGTCTGTATCTCCAGATGACCTAATTGTAAGGAGTTACCTCATGTATTCCCTTATTGTGGATGCTTTAAACGTTGGTGAATGCTCACATCAACATAGATGGATTGGAAACAGTCCCTTGTTATCTTTTAGGTGTAACACATGCAACGCGTACATGGGAAACTTAGTACATCCACCATTTAGAGGGTTGCATCTTCAAAAGCTTATAATCCTCAATTGGTCCAATCTTAAGAGTTCTCTTTCTCTGTTTTGCTTTATAGACTGCTTTTGTTGGGTTATCGTAACTTGTAAATGGTTAGGATTAGGATATTTAATTGGAATCCAGATTTCCTCCTAACAAAATGGTCCTTACACCTATCTCATATCCCTTCCAGCTGTGCATTGGGAACATCTCCCCATGAAACATAAAAATATGGAGGCGTTCCCAGTGTGCGGCTGCAACGTGCTGTGAGGAAATCCGAACCCATTTGATTGATTAACTCTTGTCATAGGGGGAGATCACATCTGCGCCCCACAAACGCCCCAAATGCACTTCTCAGCGTGCATTGGGAACATCTCCCACTGGCAACATTGGGAGATGTTTCCAATTCACGGTTGGGATATGCTATGGGGCGCCCTGTGAATTCTCATAGGGGGTCTTCTTGGTGTGACCCGTCACTGGCGGATCCCCCTTCGACGTTTTCCAAAGTATATGGACCAAGTAGCATGAATATGTTATGTTCTTTTTCAGTGCGTTGTATTAAAGTGATTCCGTTTTTTGTTCCGTAGGCTCTTGCACAGCAGTCTAGCTCTGAATTTCTTCAAGCGGAGCTAGAGAGGACTCGCATCAACACAGCATGTTTTGTGGATTCAATTCCATTGGACTCGGTTCCAGAACCTGCCAAAATTGCTTATGCCTCACCTAGAGGACCAGTGGATTCTCCCAGCAGAAACTACAGAGGAAGACAATCTGTTGGATCCCCAAGTTTCTCACGCCATAGGCGTAGATGACCTGGTAAATTACGTTTTTGTTCTGTTTCTCATGTTTTTTAATGTAATTTGTGTGTTGTAATCATTGTTAATTTTGTTATTTTTTTTGTCATCTTTGTATTCTTTCTCTGCGTTGGTTTGCAATTGGCCTGTGATATCAAATGGATAGAAGAGCATAGTTTTGGGGATCCATCTTCCAATATCAAAGCTAGTGGTTATCTAGTGATTGTACTGTTATATCAAAAGGAAATAATCATGACAATTTTTTGAATAAAGTCGAAAAGATTCATATACTACAAGGTCTACAGGTTGAACAAAAAGAAATTTACACTCCTATTGCAGTTTTCTGTGTGGAACAGGGATGGGAACATCACAGCTTAGTATCTAGTAAAGAAAAAGTACTCTTCAGAACTCAGAAGCTAATAATCAATATGAATATTAAAGAAAAGAAAATAGTGTCCCCTATGCGTGGGTCCATGGCGGTCCAACATTGCCAAATAGCTTTTTCAGGGAAATCCAGCCCTCCTATAATCTGTGTCATCCATAATAATTTCTCTATCAAAGTTTTGCAAAAGCGGAAGCCACCTATTTGGCTATTTCCGTTTAATCCATTTCTGAGAGAAACTTCTCCTGTAAAATGTCCTAGACCATCATGGCCTTAACTGTTTTCCTCCCCTCCAACTTTCAAGCTTCTAAGATTGGAACAAACAAATTTCTAACCGTTCCACAAGTTTCAAGATTATTGGTTCGAACAAGCAAATCCTTAGGCCATAGTCGATTCAATTGTTTCTCCCCTATTTTTCGGATATTTTTCTTTGATAGCCCCTGGATTTTGCCCAAAAAAAGCCACTTCAGACCCTAAAGAATTAAGAAGGGTCATTTTTGCCCTCAGGCTATGGTGGAAAAGCCATCTTAAGGCATTAGTCATTGATGGATTAATTAGACAATGAATAAAATAATAAAAGCATGCTCTTGTGGCAATCCTTAAGTTTGAAAAACTTTAGACCCTAAAGTTTGAAAAGGCCATTTTAATAATGCTAATTAAGTAAATCACTTTAAGGTCTATGGTGGTGTAAAATTGATTAAGTAAACTGAATAAATTATACCAATTAAGATAATTAAATAAAGTAAATAAACAAAGTTAATTGTTCTAAATAAGTAAATTAAGCTAATTAAGCATGTTTTTAAAAACTAACCCAAAAGCAAAATTGCTTTGGCCATCGATTTTTAGGTCAATGGCAACGTTCAAAGTATTGATACACCTGATATGTCGGTAGAGTCTTATCAGTGTGTATAGGTACCTATTTTTTTTTATTTTTTTAGTTTTTTTTTTCAAATATGGTTCGGAGGGGTCGGTTTAAGGTTCGCTCACCCCCTGAACCAATCGAGACCTTGAAACACCCCCTATGCATATCGGGAAGTAGAGGTGTAAATCGGGCCAAGCTAGCCCGACCCGACATGTAGGCCTGTAGTTGGCCGTGCTCGGCCATCCGAAGAACTAGTCGTTGGAGACCCTCCCCCGCCCTCACAGCTATATAGGGGGGTATTTATGTATTTTGGCTTTGAGTGAAATAAAATGACAATAATGCCCCCCAATAACTATATAAAAACTAGTTTAGGGGGCATTTAGGTAAAGCGATAAATGACTTTATAATGATCAAAATACTTCTCTCAACATCGAAAAAACAACTAGTTTTTAAGGTATTTTGGGGAATTACATTATTTTCAATTCCTATAAATAGCCTTATCCTCTACCATTCTCATCACACCAATTCTCATACTCTCTTAGTCTCTTGTACTCTCTCAAATCTCAATCTCTTCTCATGCATCATACTCTCACATATACTCTCATACTCTCTCTACTCTCCAATTCTCAACTTGATTCAAGTTTCAACAGTAGAAGGGTTGCTCGGGTATCTCAAGTTAGCAATTTGGGAGACTTGGAGGTTTCAACCGTTCAAATCAAGTTGAATTTTCGAACTAGCAATCTGGGTTAGTGCAATTAAATTAATTTTTTATAATTAAAAAAATGGTTGACGACTCCTCTCGCTTTTGACACCAATTCCCCAATGTAGTTAATGTCGACAATGTCGATGTTCAGTCGCAATATGATAGTGTTAGTGCCAATATGGATGTTGCTGCTGATATTGCTGATGTTCCCGCCCTAGTATTGCTACTAGAGGTAGGGGAAAGAAAATGGAGAACATTAGGTTGATTAGCCCGGTTTAGACAATATTTAAAATAGAGGAGGTTGAAGGAAAGGGAAAGAGAGCCGTTTGTCAAAAATGTAGGAGTGACTTTAGCTATAATAGTAGTGGTGGTACTGACCACTTTGGCAAACATTTGAAACGCCATTTTGATGAAAGAAGAAGAAGGGAAAAAAACATCATAAACACAAATAGGAAGTGGGACTTTTGGTAGTTTTAAATATTCCCAAGAAAAAATGAAACAAGAATTAATAAAATATATTGTGCATGCTAAACATTTTTATTAGCTGAAGATACTAAACTTGAAATATTTTTACATAGATTAGTAAATCTATAATTTAAAAAATTTTCTAGAAATACTATTAGAACAGATGCTTTAAAAAAATTTTATTCATATAAACAAAATTTAATTTCTATGTTATCAAATCTTAATTTTAAAATTGCAATTACTTCTAATATTTGGACATCTAGATTTAACATAAGTTATATTTGTGTTATCAGTCATTTTATTAATGAAAAATGACTTTTACATAAAAGAATTTTAAGTTTTATTGGGCTTGAATGGCCACATACTAGCCTAATTATTGTTGTAAATATTTTAAATACTTTACATATTTATGGAATTGAAAATAAACTTTTTTCTATTAGTTTTGATAGTGCTAGTAATAATGATTCAACGATAAATATTTTAAAATCTAAATTAAAACCATTTTTAGATGGTAAATTATTTCATATTAGATGTACATGTCACATTTTAAATTTATGTATTCAAGATGCCTTAAATATTATTTCTCATCATATTTCTAAAATTAGAAATTGTATAATATATATTAAAAGTTTTGGAGCAAGAAAACAAGAATTTAAATATTTATGTCAAAATTATGGTTTAAAGTATAAACATTTTGTATTAGATGTTCAACATAAATGGAATTCTACCTATTTTATGTTAGAAAGTTGTATTGCTTACAAACAAATTCTTAGTGATTTTTATAATGCAAAAATGTCATGCGATCTTATACTTGAGGAAGATTGAAAAATGACAATTTGTATAAAAGATTCTTTACAATTTTTTTATGATGCAACTAATGAATTTTCAAGTGTTTATTACTCAACTATTTGTCTTTTAGTTAATCAATTATTCATAATTAGTGAATGTTTTGCAAAATATAGGAAAAATCCACAATGTCAAAGTATTATTGAAATAATGGAAAGTAAATTTAAAAAATATTGAGAGAAAATTTCTCTCCTTTATTGCTTAGTTGTAATATTAGATCCTAGGATTAGGAAAGATGGTTTAGAAATTTTACTTGAATCATATTGTGAAAACACAAATATTGAAGTTGGAAATAAAATAGAAAAAAATAATTTATTATTTGAAATGTATATAGTTTATATGAATATCAAGTGGGTGGGCATAAGAAATCTTGTAAAGTTCCACTTCTCAAACAACTAGTTCCATTTCCAATAATTGAGACAAAATTCGGTCTCTACTACATAAGAGGCAGAAATGTACTACCAGTTCATCAAAAAGTTCATTTACTGAACTTAATTTTAATTTACGAGCAAGTGTTTCTATTTTAATTGATTCCTCCGATAACGAGGGATGGGATAATAATTTTGATATTTTAGCCTAGTGGAAAAGACATTAAAAAAATATCCAGTCTTTGCTGCCATGGCACGTGATATACTAACCCCTTCGGTGTCTACAGTTCCATCGGAGTCTTGTTTTAGTGTAGGTACTAAGGTGTTGGACACCAAGAGAAACTGTATGAATGATGAAAGTCTAGAGATGTGCATCTACCTTGAAGATTGGTTGGATGCTGAAAATAAATTACAAAACAAAGGAGAGCATGACATTACACCAGATGTTTCACCTGAAGCAGATGATGACAATCAAGGAGATAATTAGATGAAGATACAGGTGGAGTTGGAAGTTGAAGAAAAATGATGAAGTCAATATTTTTTATTCTTTTGTATACTCAATATTAAATTATTTCAATTATTGTAATTTTTTTTCAATTTTTAAAATTATTGTTATTTTTTCAATTTTATTTATATTAGTTCTTATTTTTTCAACAATGTAATTTTTTTTATTTTCAATTTATAATTGTGTTATATATTTTTTTATTTTATTCCATTTTCTATATTTCATTCATCCATTGTCTATTAACCATTGTATTGTTCAAATTCAAGAAATAAAATTCCTATTTTTTCCAATTTGTTCCCAAAGCTCAAAGGAATTATTGAATTAAGGAAAGTGAAGTATTTTAGTAAAAAAAATAAAAAAAACATAATGCAAAAAAAAAAAACAGTTTTGCCTGGTTCAGCCCAAGCCCATGGCACAACCTGACATGGGGCTCGGGCCAACCCCCCGAAGTATCTCAAGAGAGGGAAGCACGGCCCAGTCCGGCCCGCACTTTGCACGAACTGCATGCGGGCCGTGCCATGCCAGTTCGGCACGACCCAATTTACACCTCTATCGGGAAGCCCCCAACACGATACGTATCAGGTCGATATCTATATTTTGAACCTTGTTCAATAGTTCAACCGTTTGGTTCAAATGGACCAGCTTGTGATGTTTTGAAAAAAAAAATCCCCAAAAACCATTCAATGAGTGCTTAGCAATTCAATCGTACGGGTTAGCTATTTGTTGACGAAGTCAACATTTTTTTAAAATTCTAAGCCAAGATAAAATGGTTTGACTACCCAAGTGAATGATGATTTTAAAACCATGTAATTAAGTGAATTAACTAATTGATTAAGTAAATTAAATAAATTAAGCTAAGAAAATAGAACAATTAAAGAAATTAAGCTAACTAAACTAAATACATAAAGTAATTAAATAAATTGATGAAATTAAGCAAATTGAGTTACTAAATTGACTAAGTTAATTAAGTAAATTAAGTGATTTTTAGTTTACTATTAGCTAAGCTAATTAAGTAGTGTTTAAACAGTAATTTACTCGTAATCATTGTTAATTTAATGATTTTAATTTGATAAAATCCTTGAAGTAATTTACATCAAGGTTAATAAAATTTATTTTAACTAATAGATTTTTTAACATCTAAAGTGGCTTAGTGGCCTTTTCAAATTGGAGTAGTGCTATGTTTTTATTATTTTATTCATTACCTAATGGATCCGTCATCGACAACTAACGTTGTCTAAAGTGATTCTATTCACTTGAAGGAAAAAATGACCCTTTTAATTTTTTAGGATTTAAAGTAATTTTTTGGCAAAGTTCAAGGGTCGTGGGGGCCAAATTTTTTTTTTTTTGTTATTATTATTTTATTTAATAACATAAGGCAGTTGGGGAAGTCAGTTTTCTAAAACCATATCAAAATGAACAAATTCTCCTTTTTACTAAAGTGAGTCTCACTGAAGCTAAACCGGCAGCACTGATCACTGAAGCCGTGATCATTCTTAACCTTGGAATTTCTTCACTAAACCATATCAAAATGAACCAGTTTGGAATCTCCCTTGGAATTTCCTTAGCCATTACTGAAGAAGGTGACGTTGAATCCTTGATTAAGCTCTTATTGGAGGATCATTCTTAACCTCTTTGGACTGTTTAGATTCATATTATGAGTAGCAACAGCCTTCTCTCTCTTACCCACAAGAACCCTACCCATGCCTCGGTTTTGTACATTGAGAATATCTCCCATGTTTGCATGGTACCATTCATGGGTAGAAATATTTCTAATATACAGCTGTAAGTGTCATGTGGGTAGGATTCTTCTGGGCAGGAGATTTGAATTGTTCTCTCACACCTTCAAGGCTATTCAGTTACCTATACCCCGAGAATCTACAACTGAGATGTTTATAAATTGGCTAGGTATGCGCTCTCCTGTAATTCCATTTGTATTTCTTAGGCCTATTCTGGACTCTGATGAATAAGGAATGAAATTGGTTTGCAGAATATGGAAGGTGTTGGCCAATGTATATGATTTTGTTTCTTAAACCAGAAACAACTGCCATATCAGCAAAAACATTACTTTTTTTTGCTGATGTGGCAGTTATTTTTGTTTTAGAAAGCAAAACATTCACATTGGCGAGCATCCCCCGGTACCCACCCCAAAATTTAGGTTCATGAATATGGGGATATTCAATCTAAGCCAAATGTATCACAACTCGGTTGGGCAACAGCATTGGCAGACTCAGGTGGGTTGGTAAAGTTTGAACTTTGAAGATTTTCTTGCTCATATTTACCTATCGTTGGGTTCTACAGTCCTACTGTCCAACTATGCAAAATAAAAAGAAGATCTCGCATACATGTATCATATAGTGTATATTATTTTGCAAAATAGATGCATGCTGTTATGGGCCCGGGCTGTCCATAACACATGCATAAAATATGTGTGTACATGTTTATATGTTTTATGATATGTTTTAGAGGTACATTGATATATACAATGGATAGATATGTTTAGGATCAAGTGCTTACTATTATACTGAAAGCTTAAATTGATGATAAAGGTGCAATTTTATTTTCTTATCGCGGGTGGGAATGTTAAGTATAGACCGAATCAGTTCCTCATAACGTCCCACACCACATCCCTGCCGTGTATTAGGAACATCTCCCGATGATAATATCAGTAATGATGATGTTATCATCGGGAGATGTTCCCAATACATAGTGGGGATGTAATGTGGGAACAGTTTTGTGGGGGGCTGATTTGAACTCTATTAAGTCCTATGACTGAGTCCTCAGGGCAATGCTGGCCTCAGCCAGGCCCCAATCTCTTCCACCCCTCTCCCCGTAACTCGGGGACTCAAACGCATGACCTAGTTTCAATACCAAGTTTAGGATAAGTTTAAGCTAATGATGAGAGCACAACTTTATTTTCTTATTGAGGATTGAGGATGTTAAGCCCCATGAACCATAAGGATGATGCTAGCCCCAATTAGGCCAACAATATGAATACATCAGAGAAGCTGATCTCAAGAATATATCAATTGCACTACATCTAATGTTGAAAATTTTTTGAAAAACCATATAAACACATAAGAAATATATATTTTAATAATTTATATGAGGAGATACATTGCACTCAATATCAAGAGTCTAAAATGTATAAATATCATAAACAATTCTACTAATAGTAAATAAAAACAATTGAGCTCCCAATCTACTAAAACTTGATTGCAAGACACATTAAATTGTTGTTAGGTTAATGGATCTATCAATCTTATAGCTTTTCCTTACCATGAAAATAATTAAGTTTATATAAAGTAAATTATTTTCTGGTTTTTGGATTTTCAAAAAAATAAAAAAGAATCATTTTTACACAAATTATTGTTAGATCAATGAATTTAATTTATCGTTGTTAGGTCCATCTTATAATTCTCTTCTGCCATGAAAATCGTTTAAAACAAAAACCATGAAAAAGTTAAGGTTTTAAGGTGCATTTGAAAAAGTTTGGACGACTATTGGCTATCAATTTATTATAAATTATAAATAGGTATTCTGTATTTTGGGGTAGTGACAGATGGTACTTTGAACTTTCAATTGCAATACTTCAGGATCTTGAACTCTCAAAAGTAGGCATTTGAGTCCATCTATTAGTATTTTATCAATTAAACATTATATAATGTCAAAACTACCCTTTTTTATCTTAAATTATAAAAATCAAATAATTAAAAATGATCAAAAACTTAATTTATACATTAACCAAAAGTGGTTGATCCCTTAACTAACTTAATAACTTATGTGATAATTAATTAGACTATATAAGTTTAATTGATGGAAGGATATTATGTAATATTTAATTGACAGAATACTAACGGTTGGACCCAAGTATCCATTTTTAAGAGTTCGAGGTGCTCAAATATTGCAATTGAAAAATTCAAAATACCCTTCTGTCACTACCCTTAAGTACAGGGTACCTATCTATTATTTACCCTAAATCAAATCTAATCCGATTTAGGTTTACAATACCCGAGGGCTCAACCCAAGCCCAATCAAGCTAAGGGGAGAGTTTGAGACCCAAGTTTTTAGGTTCAAATCCAATACAAAGCCAATCTTAATTTCTTTCCTTTTCCATCTCCACCCAATGAAAAAAAGAACTAAACTACAGACCCGGTTGGAGATTTATTCAATTTCGGGTCCTTAATATTTCTTATCGGGTCGGCTATTATTTTTGTTGGACCCGACCCGTTGGCTTCAATTGAGTCTGCGATGTTGGAAACACTGTTTGGAAATTGCCCAGTTGTCCGCTCCATTTTTACAGGAAAGTGGAAAAACGAAAGCACACACCAAAGCGCGCGTTTGCGTCCCCCTCCCTCTCCTCTCCCTCTCTCTCTCTCGTTCGCTTGCTCTCGCGCACTCTGTCTCTCTCTCTCTAATCGGCGAGTGAATAACTGCTTTAGCGGCTACTGTTCGAAGGTGAGTCTCGAATTTCTGTCCAATCATTCTTTTTTGCTTTGGTTTTTCGCTTCCTAAAAACGGAACTTCAGATTTTGCTTGATTCATTACTAGGGTTTTTTTTTGTCTGTTACATAACCAAACTTGTGAAACCTCCAGTACCAAATTAGATCAAAAGCCTTTTTATTCCCACCTCTGCGGATTTGTTCTCCTTTTCTTGCTTCAATGTTTTGGCACGAGCTTGAATTGTTATTGATTTGCAGAGAAAAAAATGCATCTTCAGATTAATTCTGCAGGCATTTATTTAAAGTTTAGGCTCAAGAGGCTAAATTAGATATTCCACTATAGCTTTGAACAAAATTAGGTTTTCAAGACTTTATTCTGCAGATTTTTTCTTGCTAAAATCTCGGTTGTTTGTACTACTAGGGCTGAAATATTGAAAGATGGCTCGAAACGAGGAGAAAGCTCAGTCTATGCTAAACAGATTTATCACGTTGAAGAATGAAGAGAAAAAGAAACCTAAAGAACGCCGACCGTTTCTAGCTTCCGAATGCCGTGATCTGGCTGAAGCTGACAAATGGAGACAACAGATAATGCGAGAGATTGGTCGGAAGGTTGCTGATATCCAAAATGAGGGCCTGGGTGAGCACCGGCTTCGTGACCTGAACGATGAAATAAACAAACTCATTAGGGAGAAATGGCATTGGGAACGCAGAATTGTAGAGTTAGGTGGCCCGAATTACACCAAACATGCTGCTAAGATGACTGATTTGGAAGGAAATATTGTTGATGTTCCCAATCCTGGTGGCAGAGGTCCTGGGTATCGATATTTTGGTGCGGCCAAGAAATTGCCTGGTGTTAGAGAACTGTTTGAGAAACCACCTGAGCTGAAGAAGAGGAGGTCTAGGTATGAAATCTTCAAAAGGATAGACGCCAGCTATTATGGTTACCGGGATGATGAGGATGGGGTTCTTGAAAAGGCTGAGGCTCCTGCAGAAAAGAAGGTGAGAGAGGCTGCACTTAATGAATGGTTGCTAATGGAAAAGATTAAGCAGGAGGCAAAGATGGCTGTCAAGAGCGGGGAAGTTGCAAGTGCTGCTACAGTACTATTTGAGGAAGAAGAGGATATTGTGGAGGAGGAAAGAAGGGCAAAGGAGAAAGAGAGCGAGAAAGAGCAGGAGTTTGTCGTTCATGTGCCTCTTCCAGATGAAAAAGAGATTGAAAGGATGGTTGTCGAGAAGAAGAAGATGGAATTGTTGAGTAAATACACGAGTGACAATCTCTTGGAAGAACAAATTGAAGCAAAGGCCATGCTTAATGTTCAGCATTAGCTGTTCCAACAATTTTGCATCCACTGTGGTTTGAGGATATCATGTTATTCTACTGGATGCCAATCTCTCTTTAAATTTGTATGAAACTCTAAGGAAGCAAGAAATGTTTTATTACTCGTAACCTTAATATTACTTGTTCATTATCTTTTCATTTAGGTTGTAGTGTAAAATGAACCATTTGTTTTTCTGGTTGAAAATTTTGAGTTGTATTTTTCCTTCCAGGATGAAAACTTAACTTTTTTTCCTTTTGTCAAAAGAACAACTACTAATTCATTACTTCAGAAAAGTATTTACATGTACACCTTCTGAATCAAAAAATATATCCCTAGCATACTTACAAGCTCTGTATGCTAGATTATGAGCAGTATTATTTCTTGATTTGTTCACCTACATCACAGAAAACTTATCGAAATAGTTAAACAGATTGAAAACATAATCTTTTTTTTTGTCTAACAATTGAAAACATTATCATATAGAACTTTCTGAGACCATCCTATTTGCTTTAGCTCCAATTAAACTTTCTATAATGGATGCTGCAGCAGAAAATAGAAGAACTTCCTTCATAATCTTCTCCCTAGCCAACTCAATAACTTGAAGAACTGCCCACCACTTACTTCCATGCTATCTGAAGCCTTGCATTGAATCCCTGGTGCATATATAATGGAACTCACAGAGTTCATAAAAATCATTCCCATTGGTCAAAAGATCCATCCATCCATATTTGTGGATCAAATATGTTTGTCCTTTGTTGTTGGGTCTTGCTTGATGAAAAGTTATCTTTTCATGCTATGCTTGTTTCGGCATAAAATTAGGGGAAAATTTTCTGCTTAAACCTTTGGGCTATATATATTTATATTTTTTTCTGCTTGAACAAGCCTCTTTGTTTTTTTTTTTTTTATTGTAAAAGGGACAGAATTAATAGCTCAAATATTTGTTTCTGAAAAGTTTACATCATTTTACAAAGAAAGAAACACAATTGTAATTGAATTCGATTACATAAAGGTGTTTAAAGTAGAAAATTTGGTTTCTGTGGTGCCATTCTATAGGACATACTTTAATGTGCACGGTTTTTGTTTCATAGCTACTAGCAGAAAGCATGTCTATTACACTTGGGTTAAAAGGTGGTGTAGGGAGGGTTTTTGATGTGGACGCCGGCAGCAGCAATAGTAATTTAGTGCAGCAGCAACAGCAGTAATTTAGTGTTCTCAGCAGCAGCAATTTAGTGTTCTCATCATATTTTATCTATTCAATATTCTTGCCTTATCTGCTTTCAGTAGTAGGGATTAGTTGGAGTCTTATCTATTCAGTGTTCTTATCTTATCAGTTCAGTAGTATGGATTAGTAGGGAGTCTTATCTTATCTTATCAGTTCAGTAGGATGGATTAAGGGAGTCTTATCTTATCTTATCTTATCAGCTCAGTAGGATAGATTAGTAGGGAGTCTTCCTAATTAGCAAGGAGTCTTTCTAACTAGCAAGGAGTCTTCCTAAAAGTAGGACTCTTATCTCTTGTAATCTCCTATTTAAGGAGTTGAGAATATTGAATAAAGGCATCGAAAATTTCAGTCAAGAAAGAGAGCAGAGGAGAGTTGGTGATCTCTTGAACAAATCACCATTAAGGCGCCAAGATAGGTTCCTCAAGAAAAGGGAGGAACAAGGGAAAACAGGGGGTTTTTCCCGTGGACTGACCCGTGATGAGATCATATTCCCGGGCCCATAACAACTTGGTATCAGAGCAAGGCGTCATGGGTGACCTTGAGCAGTTGACGATTAGGGTTCATGAACTGGAGCTCAAGATCGTGGAAAATAGCACGGAGGTGCGCGAGATCAAGGACGACGTCCGAGAATTAAGACGCTTGATGGAGTTGTACTTTTCCAACAAGGAAAGGAACCCGGAGGGGTTGCAACCACAACTGGCCGCCGATCAGACGTGGCAGAATCGTCGGGCGAGCATCTGGTCGTTGCCCTAGCCCAGGGTAGCAACACCCAGAATGTCCCGATTAAGCAGGAATCCGGTGTCGTCGAGGTGTTGCAGAATCTTGAGATTGCATATCTTCAAGTTGTTGCAGGTGCTGGGGCAAGTGCTGGTGAAGGAGCTTGTATGCCTCATGTTGCGGCTGCAAATGTTGCAAAAGAGTGTTTGTTAGCTGCAGTCAGATCAGATCCTAGGGCTGCACATATTTGGGTGAATCTTACTAATGCATACTATTTGGTTGGTGATCATAGTAGTGCTGGAAAGTGCCTGGAGAAGGCAGCAAAACTGGAGCCTAATTGCATGTCAACTCGATATGCTGTTGCGCTTCATCGTATCAAGGATGTAGAAAGGTCTGCGAATGAAATGGCTTCAATACTCAGAGAAGGGGACTCTGCAACAATTGAGCTTTGGATAGCATGGGCAGGACTTGCCATGGTTCACAAGGCTCAACATGAAATTGCAGCAACGTTTAGAACTGGACATAATGATTTGACGGAAGTGGAAGAGCGGGCTTTGTACACACTAAAGCAGGCAATAGAAGAGGATCCAGATGATGTGGTTCAGTGGCACCAGCTTGGCCTTCACAATCTTTGTACTCTACAGTTCAAGACATCTCAGAAGTACCTT